TCACTGACTCTGAGTTTTGATGGCTTTCATATTGGAAACAGTAATGACCTACAACCATTTTATCTAAACAGAAAAAAAAATATTTTCATTACAAGATACTTCTTCTGTTACGATGCATTACGAACAAATGGCTCCTGAAAGCACCTTCTGCAATCTGTCCACTGACCTGCGATGCTTGCAAGGCATGGAACAAAAACCAGCATCACGCAACCGTGCATCCAGGACGTAATGGCATTCATAGACAACATCACAACTAAATTAGGGAAAATAAAAAGCTCTCCCTTTACACCATGGTAAGGGAGTGGGTTGTAAAGCCACCTGTACTGTTTTGGAAGACCTTTAAGTAGCTGGATGCCATCTTATGTTATTGATTTAGTTAAGTGAATAATTAAAAATAAAACCTATTTTACTATTTATGAGTATTTTTCTAGTATTTCTTTCGCTGTTAATGAGCTGTCCTCACTTTTCCATGGTCACTTCTTAGATGGACATTGTCACAATTTCATTGCACTCACAAACTGAGTGGATTTTGCTCTGACACTAACCCCCATTTTACTGAGCAGAATACATGTTCGGAGTTTTTTTTTTGTTTTATTTAGTTATTACAGTGCCAAAATCTTTCCCAGTGCCTGAGGAACAGAAGTAAAAAGCACAGTTTTTAGAGAGCCTTTCCAGTGACTGCAGTTAGCCCTCCTGTTCTTCCACATTCTTGCGGAACATGTTATGCTGTAAATTTTCAAAGAGAATTACACTCAAAAGGGTGAACAAGCCACTGCTTTCCATTTCTTAAATTCCCCTTTGCCAGAACTGCTATTGCAACATCCAGGGAAGCTGAGCATTTTTCTTTAAGCAAATTTTTAGTTGAACAGATTTCTTAATGCAGAACATTGCCTTTGAGGACAAGCAGGGAGCATAGTCTCCCTTTATTATTATTAGAAATCTATCTCCCATCACTTGACACAGAAAGCAGGAAAAAGCATTTTTAAGGAAGTGGCATAGAGTTAAGAAGGAAAAGGAAATTATATGTAAAAAGGTTTAAGAAATAATGAATCATTTGTACTACATAGCCAGGGCCAGTAACTGATCTCATTGCTGAAGTTAATTTTCCTTACAGGGAGGAAAATAAAAGGAATATTCCTCCCAATTCCAGTCATCCTCTTCCTTGTTTTGATTACTGTTTGTCACTTGCCAAGATATATTCTATTGGGGGTACTTTTATAGTTACACTCCATCATACTGGCCTTGCCTGTTCTGATTGCTGCCAGAATCTTCAACCAGAGCACTTCAAAGCATGCAGCAGGCTGACAGAAATGACTTCAGATATTATCTGGCTCTCTACAGTGTCCTTGGTGCCCTTTCATCCCTTCTCTTATCTGGCTGAAACTGCTCATCTAGGGCTACGACTCCTTTAGTTCCGTCTGGGATCTCTCTCCCTCATGCTGTTCTGGGTCTGGCTGCTCCCTCTGAGATGCAGCTGTCTTGTTTCTCCGTATTATTACAGCCAGTTGTTCATTGCTGATTGTTGCTCTTCATGTTATTCTTGCTGCACTCTCTCCTCCTCTGTTGATGCAGCTCTCCAGGGTTTCTGCTGTCAGTTATTTCTGGTGTGGAAAGGCTGTCATGCTTTTTGCTTTGATTTAACAATTCTTAGATCCACTCTTGTGTTCAACAGGCTATATTTCCTACTGCACTTGGGATATAACCACTTTTCCCATCATCGTGGGAGGACACTATCTCACTTCCAGCTGTACTACCAAGACATACCCACTCTCTGATGTAACTTGAGAGCCTTGAATCATCTACTGTCCTGTTTATTAATGAACTATCACGACTTCTCATTTTTCTCTACATATTTGTGGCCCTAGTGGAGGATGACACGCTCCTATCTGAAGGATGACTAGTTTGGTGCTTTTGAAACAGGCAAACATTACCCTCAACAGCTTAAGCAGAAAAACATTGTGCGCTGCAGGGCTGTGGTGTCTCTTTCATTCTGCTTGTGGGATTACCTGAATACCATTCTTCAGGGGTTTATGTCATGAGATTTCTTAACATGTGCAATCACTGAGGTTGTCCTCAAGTGAAAGTGGAAATGAAAAATATATTCAGCTCTGAGTCATTTAAACAGCACAGTTTCAATGGTCATCTCTGAAGTGTATAGAAAGAGGCATATCTTTAAAATAATAGCTGAGTGTCTAGCAGAGATGGGCACTTAAATGGTGTCTAATTGATTTATACCATATTGGTGACAGCAAAGACAATGAAATGACAATGACATTCTGTGACTGTCATTTCACTGAACAAAAATTAGATGGGAGAAAGTTTCATCACTTCAATAGTGTGCAGAAAATCATGAAGAGACAAAAGAGGTCACATGGACAATGCAAGTTCCCAGGGAGCACAAGGTGGACATTAAAAAAAAAAAAAAACAGAGTGAAAAAAAAAACTCATAGCAAAATGTAGTGAAAAGATACTGCACATAGCACTAGACTGTTTAAAAATGAACATTTTATTTAAGGCAGTAGAAAAGTCCTCACTGATAGTCCTGATCCAAAGTTTACTAAAATCAACAGAAAAAAATCCCAAGAGCTTAATATTTGACAGCAATTTAAAAAAATCAGACAGCAGACAACCTAAAAGCAATCCCAGAAACACCAGCAATAATATCCCTCCAGCTAAGGCTCACTGTGTAAGGAGAGCTTTGAGGCACCTGAAAATATGTGAGCACATGCCTGACCAGGTAAAAGCCTTCAGTATAATTTTACAGTTTGGATTTTATTGAAATACCATTCATCACAGTATTTATATTGGCAGACACTAGAGAGCTAGAAGGACAGGCAAATGTGCTAGCTATCTAATAACTGAGCCTGTTTACCTAGTTGATTTTAAGTGCAAGCTATGCATGCATGCATACAAGGTTACACAGGAATGAGACAAGGTAAAATCTACAAAATGTTGACTTTATTCTAAATTATCCTCAGAAGGAAACAGTGTCAGGTGCTTGAAGGAAGATACAGAAACAGTGAAAAGAGCAGCTATGAAGTCAGTCAGAAAAGTGACTTCCTATTAGATATTCCTTGTATCTAAAACAAAAGGATGAATGGTTACAGAGCAGCAGGCAGGAAAACAAAGACTCCATGGGCAAAAGAGTTGGTCTTTTAATCTCCTCACCTATGAAAATGTGTAAGCAAATTCTTCCATTGCCACTCCTCAAGGTAGTTTGCTAGATTGGGTAACTAGGTTCAAAATTTATAGGATCAGGCCCTGATATGAACACATTCAGTGTCACCCAGGGTTCAGAAGAGCTGGCCATCAGAAAAGCTGAGTGGAGAGGCTGCCATATCCACTGGGCATGGCCACTGTTACACTAAAAAAAACAGTCTTTAAATGGAAGATACAAGCACGCTAAAAACAGAGTGATCCTATTAGCCTGCATAAAATAGTTAATGGTATACAGATGTGTCCTACTGTCCCATTTGTCATTTCAATGTAAATGAAAATTAGTTAATGCTTGCAAAGTGTTCATAAGATGAAAAGATAAGTGTCAAGTATTACAGTTTACTGTGTGATATTACCATTATCATATTAATTAGAAAAAATAATTAGCTTGAAATATTGAGATACTGATGTGAGATAAGCCTCTGAACCTACCGAGGTTCAGCTATCACCAGCAAACATGACTGAAACATTTAAACAATGAGAATATTTCAGTATGCTAAAAGCTGCTGGCTTTTATAGCTTAATTGACCAAGAATAATGTTTTCCAAGCCAGAGAAGGGATTTTTGAAAATATTACTTGGGCTCTTGAATAACTCCAGCATCTTAAAATATTTTCCTAAGTATTTTGTGTTTGCATATTATATCCTATAACTATTACATGGACACACACACCTCCCCTCATTTGTCCATCCTTAAAGGCGTAAGATCCTTTCACAGAGGAGGATCAACTTGAATTCATTGCCAACTGAGAATAGCTGGTGACTATAAAAGAGGATACACCTCTACTTAGCCCAGAATGAGCAGTGGATAAATTGGAGGCTCAGAATGCAAGTCAGTGCTGTGCTGCAGCTGTCTTGTTACAGTCTGATGTTAGGCAGCTAATGATGCAAAGAAAAGTTATTATCAAACACAAGGGTGATTGTCAAAAGACTCTCATTACTGCATCACCAGCAGAGAGTTCCAGTACAGCCTTCACAGCGGAAGGCTGCAGGCAGCAGCCTCTGCATCACACATCAAGCAGGTTTGGTCATAAAATTCAGGCATAGTATTATACATCATACCATGTAGCAGAGAATCATTATGTGGTATGATCGAAACCACAAGCTTTTGGGCTGTATGATAACAGCAAGCCTAGTCGTATGACGGAGAAGGTGGAAGCGTGGCAGCCCTCTCACTCCTGCACAGAAGCTGTTTAGTCCCAAAGCTGGTCAAAAGGCTTTCTATTCATTCAAACAGAATTTGAAATTGCTTGAATTTAATACATATCTCTTTGCCACACCACAGTTGGAGGCAGTTCCTCCACTCCAACTGTTCATCAATTCATTGTCAGAATTTTGTCAGAGTTTTCACTAGCTGACAGAAAAATCCTCACGCATAGAAAAAACAGAAAAACATTACATTTAGCTTCAGTACTTGACAAGTTTTCTGGAGAGTTTCAACAGGACAAAGACTACACATCCTCCTGCTTTTTAAAGCATCTAATACAATTCAGACACGCCACAAAATAAATAGTAATAAAAAACCTCAGATCTTCTTGCTAAATTCTGACAGACTCTCAAGTTTGTTTATAACATTTAATAACACTCAATGTGTTGAATGTAATTGTCTAAAAAATCACTGTAGTGTATTCCAAAAATATTCCACGCAAATTAAAGTTTCCCAGCTAGTAACCACTGTGGTGTATGGATTTTTTACAATGGTATTTGTTTTACAGATGAAACATGATCTTCTAATAGCTACTGACATATGTGCACGTATAGATTGATAGTTTTACTTAGTCTCACCTTTTTATAGGCAATCCAGTCAAACACCCTGTCAATGTCTGTGGCTTGCTGCACCTCCTGGGATACTGGATGTGAACTGGCCAAACCATCCAGCAACATAACTTCATGCAGGACATCTGTCAGAAATCTCTGTTTTTCCTGAAATACAGCATATGCAGTAATATCAGAGACAAATACACATATACAACAATACAGAAATCATGAACAGTTATCAGAGGCAGCCTCTAAATAACAGTTGACTAAAATCAGACTTTCTAGTTGGAATGTATGCCACCATGACCTCCTGCAATCATGAATGGGTATGCAGAACAGACTGGAACTAACTCTAGCACCAGAGATCCCTCGGACTTGAGATCTTTTGCTGCAATGAAAGTTGACTGAAATTACTTTAGACTATTAAACAACACAAAATAAATCTGTCAGTGCACACTGCAATTCTGATTATAACTATTCACTCACAGTTACGAGGAGTGGGGAGAGAGAAGAAATGGCACAGTCTTCAAGCACAAAAATATATGGATGCTACAAATCGCAGAGCTCATTGCATACACAGGTATGAAAACTTTTGACAAAGATGGGTAAATGCAATTACTACTGCTTTATTTAGGGAGGTTTAAGTCACTTGGCTCCTACTGCCAAGTTCACATGGCAGGTCGACATGGGACAGGAAAATGAACAGAGCCCACAACAGTGTCACAGCAGACGTCTGCATTGTCTTTCATAATGCTGGTATAGAAATCCTTTCTCCTCTAGAGCTTGCATGGTCTACAAACTTTGTAACTTCCATCTGAAGGAAACCATTATTATTTCTTTACAAGTGGGACAACAGCTGCATGTAGAATTTAAATTACATAGTCAAAGTCACAGCTACATCAGAGGCAGGTGCAAACCCAACCAACATCCAACGCACTAACTTCTTTCTATCTTCTATAAATATGGATTGCAGGGGTATGTCAAAACTTCTACATATTTACTCTGGCAGCAACATTAATTAAATGTGCATTTATACTCTACGAACTGTGCTGCATTCACTTTTACAGTGCAACTAGATGGGACTTTTTCAGCTGAGAAATTACATTTTTAAAAACTTCCTCATATTGCATTCATACAGATGTCTCTAATTCAAAAGACTGTGTCAGGAAAGAAGAGCTTCATTTACTTGTTTTTTCAAGTCACAAATAAATGCAAAGAGTGAATTAAAAAAACACGGAAGGTTTAAAAGCTTTTTTCCACCCTGAAATTACATACCTCAAACTTTTTCTAAATTACAACAGTTGCTGAATTAATGTCAACCTAGTGCCATAATATAAAGAAACTGTAGGGAATGCTGCATTTTTTTTCAAAAGCCACCTTGATGTCCACAGATAAAATAACCACACAATTACACAATAAATTTTATGTTTAATTTCTTGGGTGGCAAGGTTTTGGTATCAATGTGTTAATTTAAATTATAAGACAGCTGAAAAGCTGTTCTAGTGCTGATCCATCTGGAAATAAACCTTTATTTTTAAAATTCATTAGAGCACAAGAAATGTACCTTGAGCTGATTGTATATTCAGGCAATTAAAAACACGGGATGCAGGAAAGCCAATTACCCAACACACTCTTAGTGTTCTCAGCTGGCTGCATAAGGTAAGGTTTGTGAAGGGAAAAGTAACGTCTTGTTTGTATTATTGTTCGTTTCCAAATTTTCTCAGGCATATGCAGTTAGTAACCACCCTTTTTTTATGGGGAAAAAAAAAACAGTTCAGGGAAACAATTATTATAACAGTCCTACTCAGGGGAAAACTGCTGAGGTGTAAAGGACTGTAGATGCTTTCCTTACACCTCACTCACGTTCTCTGTTAGTCAGTAACAGAGCACCAACTTCATCAGAAGTATGATATGTAACATGTACAGGTACGAACACACACAGGTACAGACCCGTCTACAAATTCAAGTCTGGATACCACAATTGACAAATGGTTGTAGGAGGAGTGGATTGTTGGTGTTTGGACTTAACTCATTAAAAGGACTCTTGTTAATCACAAATTAATTCTTTAAACACAGAACCTGGAATCAAGAAAATCAGCATAACATGAAGCTACACAAAGAAGAATAGAACAGACATAAAAAGAACAGGCTACACTTTGGTTCTCTTTTTGTTTCTTGGGTTATCTCCCGAAGGGCAGAAAATGAGGATTTTAAATTCATGATCACTCATTCAAGTTACCATAGCTGAAAAGTCTTCCTTGAAATTTATGGCAGATCATCACACTGCGATACAACTGGAATAGCTACTATGCCTCCAAACATGTAAACCTGCAGTTTAGTGAGAATTAAGAAGGCTTTTGACCTACAAAGCTAAATTTATTGAACTAAAAGGATTTCCAAAATATTTCCACATTTTCCCTCTAGCACACAGACTCTGGGAGCAGATTTCAAAAGGACACTCAAATACAACTCCAGGGAGACACAGAAAGAACAAGATAGAAGAGTTTGCTGGTTAACAGGGGGCCTGCAGCTTGAAGAGGCAACAGGAAACAGAAATGCAGAAAGAAACAAGATAACAATGATGTAATAAAAAGGAGTTGCTGCTGGTGATTTTACAACATCATGTTGAGGCATAATGTAAGAGTACAAGTTAGCATGACAGTAATGTAACACGTAAAAATTAGTCATGTAAAAATAATCTCTAAAAATTAATATGAAAGGCCAGAGAGAAGAATTAAAATGAAAAAAATTTAAAACATCCAACAGTGGAACAAAAGGAGTAGCACAACGAAAGCCAAAACTGGTAATTAGTACACAGAAGAGATCAAAGGCCTCAATATTAAAAGCATCGCCTTTGTTCTGGGACAGCCATTCAAACATTGGACTGAGAAATCTACATGAATAAAGCTTAATATTGGTGTGCATGTCTGCAAACGATTTTCCTGACAAACTTGCTGGAAATATGTTCTCCAAAATATAGAGCTTTACCAGACATTCCGAATACAAAGGAGATAAATGATCTCTCATGCCTGACAAAATTGACATTTGCAAGATTCAATTTTATATTGAAAAATATATAGGGATACATTTACAGGGAAAGTGCACCCTAGGAAAAAAAAAATAGTGGCAAATTTCGAAAGCAATCAAAGAACATCAGTATATGCAATACCAGAAGTTCAGTTCTAATACAATCTGGTTTAGGGTGAATCTTAACAAAGTACAGAGGAATATCATCTATGATGAAACCTAAGGTTCAATAATACACCATAAGGCTAGAAAAGATCCACTGGGGACCAAAAGCAAGTCCTGTGTGTCTATATGCTTATAAATACAAAGTTGTCACAGCATAGGAAGTCTCCTGAGTACTTGCAATGAAAGAAACATTTCTTTCTCTTTCTCTCTTCCCAACAGTAATTTTTGTAAATAACTTTGAGATTGCTTGTTTTTTAAATCCCTATCACTGCATGTGTGCTCAATTACAGGCACAGTTTGTTGAAGGAGGCCTGCAACACATTCTACATTTCTCAGCAGTGAATATGTCATGGTTCCATGGCTACCTTCACAACCCTCTTTTCTGCATTTTCAGACAAAGTTCTTCCAAAATGTCTATCCCTGCCTGCCCATTTTTGTCAATATAAAGGAATGTAGATGTTGTAGGAGTTCATAGTTAAGGAAGACCAATAGCTTTGAGTATCAGGAAAGAGAACTTGGGTATGTATTTTCTTCTCAATGAAGTGCCAAACCAGATATTCATGATCACCTGCTTAAGTTGCCAAGCAAATGGGTAGTTGATTTGGAGTATTTGTGTAATTTCACCAGCTACTTCAACTGATGTTTCCTCTCACCAATCTGTTTTTCAGGTATAGCTTTGATTTGGTTGCACACCAGATTCATTATGCCAAATGAAGGCCTACAGAATTAGAGGATGTAGTGCAAAAAATGGAGTGTTACAAAATGAAACAATATATAGTGACCACCAGCACTTCAAAAAAAAAAAAAAAAAAGAAAAAAAAAGGCCAGTTTCACTCTCCAAGATCATGTTTTGTTACCTTGTCTGTAGTTGTCTTCACAGAAACAGTCATTAAGCAAACGGATGAACACAGAACCACTGTCTCCTAATGCATTTGTCTCCAGAGTACTTTAAAACATTAGGAAACAAAGTATGACGTTTATCCTCTAATTCTAACTCCACGGGGGGAATCTGTAGAGGAAATTCACCTTACTTCAAGAGACAGTAAATAACATTTAAATGAAAAGTGAGATGTGGCTGGTCAACCTCCAGCAACCACTGCCAGAGGTCACCATCAATGAGAATATTTCTCAGGTGCTCTAACATTTGCTGGATGAAATTTGCATGCTTAGACTCTGTATCAGCCTGAAAGCAATGAGATACAGTGAGCTAAGTCCTGAAGGAATCAAAAATGTTTTGCAGGCACACCAAAAATTGCTTATCAGCTTGTGCTCCAAGTAACTGCTCACTGCCCACAATTTTAAAATAAACAGTGGCAGCACATCCAGGACAGCTGGAAATTTGAAAAGCAGAGTCTTTCAGTAAGAATGCCCTCAAATATACAGCTACAGCTTTGCCACTGAACTTCTCATATCAACTATACTTCCTGATGAAGGGCGTATTCTTGTTTCAGTAGGGCTACCCTGCAGCGAGTCCTTGCCTTGAGGCAAAAGTTGCCATAAAGTTTCCTTCTCATTTTCACTAAAAACAAAATGGTTACTAATTCAAAATTATGTGAAATTCAGCCAGTTGACTGAAGGTTCTTTCTGAAACCAAAGCTTCATTTAAACTCTGAACTCGGGAGATTTGAACTCACATGACCCAAAAGCTCTCATCATAATGTCATTTTAACTACTCTCTCAAGATGAGTAGATAATGACATGAAGAAAGAAGAGACACTGACATTCTCCAAACCTGAACTCAATCTCCTGAATAAATGTTTCATCTAAATGTTGATATTCATTTATGTCTGATCTCTAAATGTTAACAGTTAACTACCTAAAGTTACGAATTCCATAAATTAATCCACCTTGCCAGAGCATAAAAAAAGAAACTGTGTTAAGGAAGACCATGTGGAGATGGAAATTTATTTTCCTAGTTAGAAGCTAAATTTTGCTATAAGGATTTCTAAACTGGTATACTTAAAAAGGACTAG